AATGACCCATGAAAATTCTTCTTATATTCAGTTCTTCCCCGTACGTTTTACAGAAAATTAAATTGATTTTAGATGAACTTCGGCCAATAAAACATAACAGCATTTATTTTAATCCGTAAAAGGGTAAATTATATAACTGTGTTATTTGGATTTTTTAGAATATTAGCATGTACACATTACCGTATAACTTCGATAAGAAAACAATAAAATATAACGACAATACATTACACGTAGCTGCATACTATTTTTTATTGTTAAATCAAAAAGGTATCCGACAAGAAGTTTTCACACAGAGACATTTTGTTTTAGTTTCTCTTTTTTTATTTTTGCAATAACGTTGTTTCTTTTTAACAAAAACGATGTTACAATCAGGTAGCTTTGCTCGTTTTTAAATAACTGATATGTTGGGATACACTGTGCCATGGTTACAATTATTTTAACATTATCGTTAAATGAATTTGAAAATGAACAACACACTTTATATTCGTTTCTTTCTTTAAACAAAACACAACAGCACCGCATTCTATAACTGTTGTGACTTAAGATTTTATCTTAAAGTGTTTTAGATATTTTAATCTAAGGAAAACCTAAGGCATATTTTGAATGTAGCAGTTATTACTCGTTTTTTTACTATAACTTCTTATCCCCTCCAATATGATAATCAAAATAGATGATTTACCTACATACACAATTAATTTGTCTTGTAACAAGCATTAATGTTAAACTTTGAATTTAATCAAAGACGAATTTACGGCACACGAAAAGTTTAGGAATTTGATTGGCATGCAAGCATATTTTATTGAATGCCGTCTTTCCTTAATGTTTTTTCTTTTCAATTTTTATAAACCATGTAAAAGATATAACAAATAAAGAGACATTTACCTACTGAATAAAAATACCAGCTTGGTATAGTCCTGCTGTCGTTATTAAATGTTATAAACTAATGTACTTTGATACAGCAATATGTCATTAAGTGTTCTTGTATCAGAGGAAATTTTAATATAAGGAACAAATATAACAGTATACTATAGGCCTTTAATTTTCTGATTTTGTTAAAAAAACTATCTACGATGATCTCGTTACTAAAGAGAATATAAGTGTTAAAGCACCGTATGCAAAGAGTTTCACATTAAAAATTGTAGCATTAATTTTCAGTAATAGCTGCCACTTTTATGCATTATAATCTTTTTAGGATAACAATAAAATACCAAATAAAACCTTAAAAAGTTTTTATATAATAGATAATCTTCTAAAATGAATCACAATATAGTGATTTATTAGTCCCTACTAATTTTGTAATGCTAATTCCCGATAGGCCAGTAGGAGTTATTCTTGCTGTTTACTCTAGTGTACCATGTGACTAAATATTTTGTACTGTATCCTAGGTAACAGCACATTTTCACAGTAAAAAACCTGAAAAACAAAAATGTTTATAAACAGTGTCTCAATGAAGTATTTGATCAGGTATTAAAATAAATAACACATCGCTTTGTGAGTAACAGCAAAATTATCATCCCTCGAATAAATCGGGATGATATTTTAACTGTTACTCACAAACTTATGTGTTATTTTTACACTAGCATACTAGTAAATGAAACAAACTGTTTCGACAATAAACAATTTGGGACTGAAACGCCATATTTGAAATAATTTCGAAATTTAGATTGTAGCTTTATATTAATTAGAACAGACGACATGCTCATTAAGCGGTACTTTGTATAGAATAATAGTAAATCGTTGTTTTGAATCTCGGGAAAAAGCAAAAAATATTATGTTTAGTGCATGCAGTCTACAAAGTATTGCAAAGTCTTCTGAATACATTGAAAAGAAAATCAAATTATTTCACATGGCTTTAATTACATCGAAACAATAAATTTTATCATAAAATATAAACAAAACAAATTGGTTGCACAGATGTTTTAATACAACATAGTTTTTTTTATATATATTTTTTGGTCGGGGATCAGTAATTGGCAAGTTTTACTTATTTTTACTTTTTTTAATCCAATCACAAATTTGTCACACTTGTTAATCTTCGATATTTTGCAATTTATTTAAACGCATCACATCCTGAAAACGCTAATTTTTAAATAAATTCAATAAAAAAATCGAGTCCTTAAGTCAGTAAATGTGGTCGTTTGCAGTAGTTTTATCAATTCATCAAATTATGTAATTATAGAACAAACGTTAAGAAAAAAAGTTTAATATATGAAACGTATCTAGACTGTCATTTTTTCGATAATCATAAAATAGAAGAAAAGCCGGAAGACCTTACGAATATTCAAAAGTATATCATATCTTATTTGCTTGCGTAAATATCTGAAGTAATAAACTAATCAAATCAGCTAAATAATTACAGCTGTGTGGGTTGGATTCTTGGACTATCAAGACAGGCGCTGGTTTTAGTGGTTTGTGGTAAAGCTTTCGGATATATTTAAAAATACAGCAAAATGTCATACAGCGAAATGTCACACAGTATATTATTTAAGACATATTAAGCTAGAAGTGTAAAAAGGTGATGTCATAATGGAAGTAATTGCCGGATACCATCTCTGTCGGACATCTTGTTTGATGGCACTTTATTGATCAAATTTGCTGTCGGGTTTTATTTTCCTGATTTGCATATTGATGTTTTATATGCGACCAGGAATTAAGCAATCTGCATAACATCGCAGTGATTACTTCATTCTAAAACCTCGTTCTCTGCTGAAATTACTGAACGACGAATATCCTTCGCGCGGAAGCATATTAATTGACAACTTATTCATTTTCTTTAAATTTTCACAATATTTGATTGAACAACTTTTAAAACGACCACTTTTCATTTTTCAGCTACTGTGATGGAATATTTATATTATCTAAACGATTATTTCAAAACTGAAAAGCAGGCAAAAAAAGTATCTTATGGCTATAATTATCAATATATTATATAAAAAGTAATATAAGTAACTTATATAGGCATCTATGTCCCGTTATCATTTCTAAATATTCAACATAATTTAACTCGGTTAATTGTAATCTTAAAAGTCACAACTTCCTGCTATTGATGCCACTGGCAGTAATCATAAAATGCTTGCCGAATGCATAAAACGTGACATCTCCTCATGTATCTGATATAAACATCAAGATATTGTTAAGGAAAATTATTCCATTTCTGCAACAACACTTAAGTCTCCACAAGTTTCAAAATTGATAAAGAATAAGAATTATAAAGAACGTTCATTGTAAGTACATTAGTTTTTATATTTTTTTATCTTCATTAATAAACGCGGCCATTCTAATTATAGTTGTTTCTAACGGTAGGTTCGATACAAATAAGAGCTCAAATTACAGAAAGCCGGGCAACTTAAGCTGTTGGACACGTCTGAATTCCTATGGTAGGCTACCTATATCAAAATATTGAATTTACTTCAATGAATATGATTTTCTCAATTTACTTCCCTAGTTTGCATGTTTAAATCGTAAATACGTCCAAGCATAAAAGAGTCAACTGATAATCAGTCGTGTAATCATATACATTTAATAGATAAGATTGCATGGTGTGTAAGAGTTTGTGAAGTTGTTGAGTGAATCTAACGAGATATCAAAATAAAAGGCCTGAATTTAGTATTGAATGTGTTCAGGAATAACTTTTTTATATAGTTTTACTTTTATATTTTTAGTACGTTTACACATTTTATATTTCAAACAACCTTATCCCATTGTGCAAACAAATGTATATAAATATATCGAGGCATTTTCATGTACCAATTGCATTGCTAGGTCTCCTTTTGTATCCAGTGTCAATGAAATAATTACATAATACCATTACGAGACATTCTAGATGTATGAATGTATATGCCTTGCTGTATTAATCAACGAGCTTAATTCATAAAGGACATTTCCTGGTTGTGTACTATTGATAAAACATCTCCAAAATCTTTGCCTCCGTCTTTTTACATAGCGACATTATTCAATATGTAATAGTACATATGTAAGTCGTAGTCTTTTAATTTCGTTTTAGTTTCTTTTAGATAGAAGTATAATTTACAAACCAACTGACATTTATTTTAGTCTAATCTGAACAAAGAACAATCGTTAAAAACAATAAAATTGCTTTGTTCTAATTATATCATAGAGTTCTTGCAAATGCTCCTAGTTTTGTGGCATTAAAGACGAAAACCAAAGCTGATATAAGAAGACAAAATGTAAAATGATACCCCGAGTCTTTATCATACAAATGTCAAGCAATCTCGTTTCTAACAACCATGCTGATTCTAGAATATCAAATGTCTTGTTAAAGGTTACGTATATAAAAGCTTTTTAGGCTAACTTAAAGAGAAAACAGCATTTTATCTCGTTTCATAATATGTCTTGTTCTACCAAAGTACGAGAATTAAGATTGTATTCAACTCCATTATCATTTTGTTTTACAGTTAATTATTTGTTAATGTTTAATGTTCATTTTATAAAATGCTGCTAAATAACCTTAAACAGCACATTATGTATACATTGTATTACTATCTTAATATAATTTCAAAAGACAGCTCATTTTTATTTCTTGTATTCTTTATTTTCTTTTTCATTGTTATGTCTTGCTGCTACTTTACAAAAGAATGTGTCGAAATAAATTGCCTGGACTTGTTGTTTAAGCGTCTGAAAATGCAAGTGGTTGTTTTATTTCAAAATAGCATAGACATAAAGGTTTCGTTCATTTAGCGCCGTTGGTTTCGGAATGCATGACTTAGGAGTATGAACTATTCACAAAATCTATGCAATACATTTATAAAGATTTTTTCCAAGTAATTATAAAGAAAAAACCAAATTAATATTATCAAAATAAATACAATATTTAATTGACAGTTAATTTACTGTACAAGCCTTGTGACAAATCATTTTGTGTTGAATTTAATTTCAGCAAAAATGGGATTTGTAAATCGACTTTGTCGTTTTATTCTGTCATCGAATCATTAACTGAAATAACATCTGATAGATGGACTTTTGTCACAACTAATAAATACAAAAAATGAACATTTATTAGCATAACTATACAATTTGTACATTAAAGTCATTTGCCTTTCAGGCAGATATGATAAATGTTGTCGTCTGCACCGTATAATGATCAATTATTTTATGTAATCTAAATAATATTAAGATATTTCAATATTTGAAGTAACATGAACGAAATACCACAATTAAAGTCACTAATATTGATTACACGAAATATTTGTGTTACTATATAATAACACAATATAAATATCAAAAACACACGTAAGCCCAATTAAACAATGTCACAATAACTTACCCTGAGCTCTGCTCAAGCCTTAATTTTAAAATCCAAGTCAATCCATGGTACATGTATATGCTCAAACATACTTTCAGAAATTGTTAGTTCCTATTAAGTATAATTCAGTTGTGTGTTTACATTTTAAAGCAGAATTTATATCACAAAAAATTCAAACAAACTGTTACATATACACTTAAAACAATCAAGAGCAATAGCAAAGTTTGATTGTCAATTTGGACTTATACTCTAAAATATTTATTTCAATTTTCAAGTATTTGTATATAAATACTGTCAATACGATTTAATCATATTGTTATAATTTAGCGCACATATGTTACTGAAGTTATGACATTTCAAACAAATGGACGCCCCTTTTCTTTAGAATTAATGAAAAAGAGAACAATTTAGGAATCCTCCTCGTCGATGTGGTTATTTGCACAGTGCTCCTTCAAGGGTATGGCTGTGGTATCATCAATAGACATTCGTGTGTGATTCGTCATTGTCTCCTTGTTGTGAAATTCAGGGGAAGAATCGTTACCAAACTTAACATGTAACGCTTCAAAACAAGCTTTTCGTATTTGGCGATCCATCACACCGTAAATAACCGGGTTAAAACAGTTTGCGACAGCAAAGAATACGGTAATTGCAACGTAGAAATCAGCGTCTAGAGACAGTTTTTTGTCAATTGCTCGTACAATTCCATACGGAATATATCCAATCATTATAAGCAGAAATACAAGTCCAAACATTTTCGTAATCTGAATTTCACGCTTAAGCCATTCTTTCTGCCTGTATGCCCGAAATGCTTGAGAAGATTGGTGTACTTTGATGAAAATCGCTATATAACATATAATTAGAATTATGGATGGTATCATCATAAGGAATACACTAACAAGCAGCGTGAATGGACCGTAATCCTTTTTTACAATACATCTGAGCAGTTTTGGCTCATAGTATGCCATGTTGCCGAGCGACGGCTGGCATAGAAACAGAAGTGGTACTACTCTGCAGAAAACCAGCAAAAATATAGTGTATCCCTTTTTAGAAATTTTCTTATAAAAGTTATTGAAAACGACCACTACTAACCTATGGATTGCAATGAGTCCAGTATGCCAAAGTGACGAACCCATCAAAATTACGGTAAAGTGTGTCGACAATTCACATCCAAGCAGTCCTGTTGGCCACTTTCCTATCATATATGATGATGTTACTAATGTATTGTTTAAGCTTAGATTTAATATGTCATTAATACATAAACTTACAACAAATATATGAATGATATTTGTTATATCTTTTCTCCGGAGAACAACAATCATCACAAGTATGTTTCCAAATAAGCCTAGAAGTAGCGCAATGAGCATAATCCCAGCACCTATATACATCGCTGGTAATGACGGTCCCAGCCTGCCGCCTACAGTAAAATTTGTCGCATTTCCAGTCATGTTTCCTTGATGTGGTTCCATATTTTTTCTACTTTCAAAGAATTTGTTAAATTAAGAATGTATTATTTATATTTTGTTTCTTTCATTTAAACGAATTATTTTGTTGTTTTTTTAAATATCAATTTATTTAAAACATGCAATAATATTAGTATTTAAATCCATTTTCCTCTCCTAACAAATTAGAATAATTTCCTTGCGCTTCTACAGAAGTAGCAGTTTATTTGTGCAAGATCTCCCAATAATCTTTTTTCCAACCTTACGCATTTGATCACTGGTGTTTAACTTAAATGAACACGAAAATGTTTCCTGTGAGAAGTCGTTTCCCGCGGATCACTTCCTGTCAAGGAGTTAATGCGTCTTCTTTAGAGAGAGTATCTGTATATGGTGACACGAGATTGGAGAATGGCGCTGTAGAGCTGAGAACTGCCAGTATAATTCCCTCGATCAATGACGTGAGAAACGTCCAGCCTGTAAATATATGATCAGAATTATCTATACATTGAAGTTAATTCATTGGAAAACAAGCACAGGAACGGTAATAAATTATTGCTTTTTTTATTTTCGCCTTTCAAGTGAAAAAAAATCATAAAAAATATTAAATTAAATAAAAATGAAACAGTTTTTCTAAATTTAAAAAGAAATATCAAAGCGCTAACGAACGTATCGTAATTCTATGTCCGCATGGTTACATTTGTTTATAAATATTCCAAAAATAAATAAATAAATAAATAGATAAATAAATAGATAAATAAATAAATAATAAAAAAATGATCATGTTAAATATCATCAGACAATATACATTGTACTTGCTACTTGTAATTTGAGACTGTTACTGTCTAATGAACAGATATCAAGATATGAAACGATTCTGGCAGAACTATGGTGCTGTTGCCATTTTTTTTATCTGCATGGAACAACAAATCTGCCATTAAGTGTAAATTTTTTTCTAATACATTTTAAAATTTTACGCCGTTATTTCAAGTTTGTATTTCAAAGTGTACTCATAGAAAAATCGTGTAAAATTATTAAATTTTTAAGATGTTTAAGCAATGCTCCATAGTTTTGTTTATGTCTTAATTACGCAAAAAAAAACCCACAGAATTATTTGTTCAAAGTCAATTATATCACAAAGCTGAGTAATGCAGGCATCGCTTATGTTATGAAATAAATGCCACGATGATTCTTAATAAAATTATATTAACAAATTGCTATTAAAATATTTGTAAGGAACACGAAATATAAGAGATGAATAATTCTACTATCGTTGAACCCCAGCTTGATTGTTGCACATTGGTCTTCCCGCAAACAATAATATAAGTTGTATTCTTAATGAACTAATATCAGATGTTTTCGAGCAAATTGTGAGTTGATATGGAATAAATTTCCTTATTGCTGAACTGTTTGAGACAGTTTAAAACTTGTAGATGAACATATAAGTTTATTGAATGTTAAAGTGTATTCTGCTAATTATATTATAAAAGTGATCCTTTGCATATGTAAGTTTTAATATGTTATTATGAAAACTTCAAGTCTAAGTATTTATAACAAAATGTATTATTAAATGTTAATGTCGGTTAGATCATTTTTCTTCTAAGTGTGTTGAAACTATCTCGTTGTTACAAAGAGAGAGTATATTTGTACTTAAATAGTGAATAATAAGTCTTTTAACGGTGCCAATAGAAATAAGGAGGGCACTATTCGCCAAGAAGTGATATAAATCAGCCAACAAAATAATATTTAACACGACCAACTTATGTTAGATTTAGACAGATGCAGTCAAACCGAGACTGCAATTTTTGTGTTATTTTGTTGTTTACAATTCTTCCGAGGGATCTCCCCATTACCAGAAATTAGAATATGTACATGTTGATGACAGAAACATCATAGAAACACCATATGCGAAACACGATGCTTTCTACTGTGAAAAAACAACAAAAACAACAACAAACAGGATTAAAGCGCAAAACTCAAATTTGAACTTTATAAAAACTTAACCAGTAAAGTGTCTTTCTTTATTTAATAGTTGCAAATTTGTATTATTGCATTTTCTTAGCACAAACGATAATTTGCATTTGTTCAATTTTGTGTGACACAAATAGACGAACACATGATGTATGATACCAAGTTTTTACTTTTAGTTCGTCTATAAATAAATCTGAAACCGTCATTATTATGAGATTTTTTTGTATTTAGATTTTTTTATTTTCTGATGTATTTGTTCCCTTTCTGTAAAACGAGCTTGATAAATTAAGATACGGTAAAGGGAGCAACCTTTATGACAAATATCTCCAATTTAGCCCAGACTTTACATCATTTGAATAAATCACAGATACATTTAAAGCCAAAAGGAATATTTTGAAACTATTTTCTTCATATTATTGGAAATATACGGAAATCAAAAAACATGACATGTGGACCTAGTTCTTCCATGATTTATTGAGACACAAAGATATATTGTATCCGTCACTTGATGTAATGAAATGGAGAACATCGTTTAATTTGTCATCCACACTGAGAAATAAACCAACAATAACGTGATTTATTACTGTAACTTAGAGAGAATCCTCCGAGTTAATCAGCTTTCTACGAACAAATAAAAATAACACACAAATGTCCGGTGATCAAACCGAATTGATTTAGAATATTGGTTATTTCAAAATCAACGACCCTAACCATCATTTGCAGTCATTAAAAGAAAAAAATATGGCTTTTAAAGCTGTTAAATTTCAGGAGCAAATAGAAAGGCTATCTATCAACATTTATATTGAGCTTCATATCAAATAATTTTGATCGTTTCTTAGCGTGTTTCTAAAATGATATCATAATAAATAATGAACAATGAACCATCTGCTAAAAAACATACCCATTCCGGTAGAGCTATAGAATGTATTTTCTGGAATTAGTTCACTAGAGGAAGAATCAGATCTGTCACACAGGGATTGCCGGTTCGATCCTCGGACGAGTCAAAATGTGTCCTTAATAATTGAACCAAAACACTATGGTTAGTTGTTAGATATACACGATAGCCAGGAGGTGTAATGAACGCTGACATGACAAAACATGTTGAAATTGACGTACCAGCCACACACACTAATGTCAATCTACAAGTCATATGATAAGGCCTTCTTATAGATTGATTATTGCTTAATTCTAAGCGATTTACAAAAATCGGTTAGTAGGTGAACGCACGCATGTAGCATGCCCTAAAATATCAATTAATGTAAAAGGCAATAGACATATTGATTTCAAACTCGAGAGATAAAAAAAAATTATTGTCTTATTTAGTCTTTTGACTAAAGGTGTTATTAGAATGAATTGTGTTTCATTTTTTTGAAATTATATAATTTGAAAATTTGCGTAACTATCAAGGTCCTCAAACGACGTCAGTTACGTGTATACAACTTTTGTGTTATACTTAAAAAAACTTGAGAAAATGTTTATACTATAAAACGTTAATAAAGTTATGCACTTATGTAAAATGAGAGAAAAACATAATCCTAAAGCCACAAAAAGTATTTCTATCTTTTGCTTATTTTTCATGAACGATCTTCATTTGCACAGCTGAGATTAAATCTCAAATAAGTCGTTGCTAGGATAGCATACATAAATAAAGCTCATATCTCTCAATTTCATAATTCCAATAGTGTATTTCATTTGGTATCGCATTGCTGTGTTTACTTTGGTCTCAACATGATTCCGATGTTTCATAATTTATTAAAATCTGTATACAACATTGATTTAGCATTGATTGCTCTCCAACAAAATAATTGGGTAAATGTAAAATGTTCTGTTGTGGGATTTAAGATATTATATTTATTGAACATTAAAGTGTATTATAAGAATAACATAATGTGTTTGTAAAGCTTTGATATGCATAACTTGTCAATTAAAGCGTACAATTAAAAACGTCCAATACATTTGCTTCGGCTTGATATCTCACAGACGGATAATTGGTTAAGAAGACAGGTTGCATGAAAGTTTTCCAAAAATTTGTCGTATTGCTGATTGCACAGGCTAATTAGTCATACATGCTATATTCAAAAAGAATGACAAGTCAACATGTATATACATATATTAGGGTTTTTATTTCTTAATGTGCACTATGGAACATGACATGATTTATGAGTATTATAGTGCAGGATGCATATGGACTGACCTTATGTCAGGATGATTAATATATGTAACTCTAAAACGTGTGTATTTATATACATTATAAAATGTCCTTAGGACAGGTTGATATTATATATACTATTCTCAAATGTCAGAGGGGGAGTTCGACTTTGGTATTCCACTCGTTCACTTGTGTGTTTGTATTTGTATATTAAAAGTATGTAACATCCGTGAGTTCTTCCTCCGTTATACGACAACGGTTGATTTGGCGCCTAAGACCAGCGATGTCGAAGCGACGATTTTGCACAGCGGGACACAACGAAGTACCTGAAATAGAAAATTAAAGGTGAGTGATCGTTTATATACCTGTAGTTTGCTAATTTTGAAGATGTCAGATCAAGATATAGCTACAATTTTTGAAAATTTGTCAGATAAATTGAACAATATTTCAACTATCATAGGTACACAGGGTTTATCAGAAATAGTACAAAATTTTGATGGAAATTCTAAATATTTTAATGACTGGATAAAATCTATAGAAAAATATGCTGTTTTAAAAGGTTTGGATGATAATAAAATAAAATTAGTCGCATTTCAATCAAGTAAAGGGACTGTAAGCGATTTTATATGTAGATATTTGCGTGATAATCATCGTAATTCGTGGGAACAATTAAAAGAAGAAATAAGTACTAGATTTGGGGAAATTAAAGATTTACATCATGAATTTTATCTTTTGAGAAATTTAAAACAAGATTTGGGAGAAAGTGTTCAAATTTTTGGGGAAAAATTTATTAATTGTGCTGAAACCGCTTATGAAAATTATAAACTAGGAGATAATAGTTTAATTGAACTTCAGTTAGTAGAATTGTTTACGGATAATTTAGCGCATAATTATTTAAAACTTAAACTTATGAGAGAAAAGCCAAAAACTTTACAAGAAGCAATTACTTGCGCAATGAATGAACAGAATTTCAGAGCTAGATTTTCTGCCAGAGTAAAATTTTCTAATTCTCAAAATCACGCAAAATACAATAATTACAGAGCAAATAATTCTAATCATTATTATACAAGAAATTTTTGCGTGTACTGTAAGAGACCAGGTCACCATGTGCGTAGTTGTAGATTTAGGAAAAATGAAATATATTCTGTATTTCACCGACAAAATTTTTCACGATTTAGGAAAAATAATAGCAATAATAGTTTGAAATCAAAGATTAAGTGCTGGAAATGTAATAATTTTGGTCATATTATGCGTGAATGTCGTAAACAAAATTTTTACGACAGAAACAAGATAAATTTTCAGGAAAACTAGCAAGTTCCTGTCACAAAGGGGTCATTGACAGGAACGATAAAATAC